AAAACGCTCACACACTTCCCCCTTTTTATTAACAAATCTCAAACAAAGTGCCATTTGTTCCTTATCGAAAACATCGGCAGATTCATCAGCAAGAATAGCAAAAAATCCACCATCAAGTTCTTCCAATATTGCTTTAGTTGTTTCTTTAGCACAAGCATTGATTATATCTTTTTGGACACTTGGAGAAGTAAGTTGACAATTAACAGGGGCCATTTTAAAAACAACTTTGGAATACTTAGGATCATGGTTTGAAAGAAGAGTTAATAACGAAAGAAAGTTACCTCTAGACAATGAACTTTCCTTTTCATCATGACCACGAAAAGGCAACCCTTGGAACAATAGCCATTTAATGGTTTCAATTGAAGCTTCTAATCTCTTACGATAGGCACTCATGGTTTCCGCTGTTTGTTTTGATAAAGCGGTGGCAATGCTACTCATTTGATTCATGAAAAAGTTCATAGCAATCACAGCATTATTGTGAGCACTCTTGTGTCCACCAACATGCTTTACAATTGTGTCTCTTCTATTCCAACGTCTGAAACCTCCATTAACAAAAGCATCCACTCCCGCTGTGTTACCATCCTTAAATAGATAGCAAATGAAACAAAAGGCAGCATCTTTCTCAACACTATACTCAAGCCATGTTGGCCAAGTATCAAACCAATTAACATTAAATCGACGTTTTTTCGGCCCAAAAAGTGTTTGAGGAAACGCATGATCTTTAGGTTGACATGGCTTTCTTTGAATGTATGTTCTCCGCACTAAATCCCTATCATCGGGATGAAAATCACACATCCTTCTTCTTTTCCCGGGGTCTTGTGGAAGATTAATAATATCAAGTGCACTTAACCTTCCTTCACCAATTTGAGCACTAGGATCCGAACCACCTTGGGGAAAAGATTGCCCATCCCTTCATTTTGAGGGAAATTGTGAGATGGGGAAGAATGTTGTTCACTAGCATGATGTAAAGGAGAACTTGGTTCACTTTCTTGAAAGGGTAAATCATTTTGTGGAGGAGTATCATTTTGTGGAGGAGGAGGATTTAGAGTACGCACTTTTTTAGTAAAAAAACTTGAAATATCTCGAGTTGTTTTTCTTTTCATTCTGAAATTGAAGTTAAATGTTGAATTAGATAAATCATACAAGAAGGTAGGGTTCTCTCAAAGTTAATAAAACTAATAATATTATCAAAAGAACGCTCATTAACCTCAATTTCAATCCATCCTTCAACCCCAAATCTCCAAATTAGCAATCACCATTCTCAATAGCTAATAAGCAAGTTGGACAACTATTATCATTTATCAATTAAACAGAAATAATACTATAAAATAATAGGGCTCAAATGGTCAAATATCGGCCACAACTCACATTCACAAATCACAACATTCAACCTCTAATAAAATCATACAGATAATCAAGTGACGATAATCAAGTCATAAGATTCAAGCTCTAATAAAGTCATACAAATAATCAAGCTCTAATAAAATCAAGAAATTTCAACAAAAAAAAAAAAAAACAACTCATACAGTAAATTCGTGAATCGTGATATACATATAATCTGATAATTTTGATAATTAAACATTTAAATTGATGATTTGATATAGAATCTAATCAATTTGCAATGTAATTATGTAAATTAAAAGTTTAAAACTAACCTCAAAACAAAATTGAATTCACGGAGTACGGAATGAAGACCTCACACTCACGCCTGAGCAGAGCCTTGCTGCGGTTGCGGGACGCCGGGACAGACGACTGAAGTTGCTGGCGAGGTCGGCGACGGGGTTGCTGGCCAGTGGTTTTGCTGCGGTTGCGGGCAGTGGACTGAACTAAGTCTCACGTTGCTCTGTTCTCAGTCTTCTCACGCTACGCCTCAACGCCGCTAATAGGACGCCGCGACAGTGAGAAGGAGCAAGAAAAACGGCCGGTGAGGCGGTGAACGGCGACGGGGTTGCTGGAGTTTGGGGATTTCGATTTAGGTGAGTTTGGGACTTAGGGTTTTAATTTGGGGGAATTGGGGTTCTGACTTATGTTTTCATTCTAAAGCAAAAAAAAAAAAAAAAAAAAATTGTGAGTAATGGGATTTGAACCCACGTCTCATGAGTGGTAGGATGGGAAAAAAACCACTAGGCTGCAAGCTAAATCCTTAATACATAGTGTGTTTTTTTTTTTATAAAATAATAGGTGGTCCGCGGACCCACTATGACTACACGTGGGTCCGCCACTGATGACAACATTGCACTAAGTCTTGAGTTGCTTGAAAAAACTTGATCTCATTGAATTTCGTAGAGATATATGTATAAGTTGGTGTCAATATCAAGGAAATTGGCCTGTTTACACAACATAAGCCAGCCAGTATTGACTGCAGCAGAGAAAAGAAGATCTCATTGTTGGATTTCCGAGCCAAAGGTTGACTTCACTAGAGTTCCCATGAAAATGCAGAGTTGAACCAAAAACTTCTGGGCAACTGGTATATGCACCATCCACGACCCCTTTGAAAGATAGGGTTTTCATAAATTATCAACTATAATGTCATGGCAGCCAAGTTCCAAGTTCTGTGATATTGCAATCACTGATACAAAACTACAAGTATACCAATAATACACAGCTAGAGGACAATATCTATGTCACCATAACAGGCTCACAATATAGAATTGGTGAGTTTAATTTCCTAAAAATTTACTTAAGCATTGCTATCGCTCCACATCGAATCCACAGACTAAATCGATGTTTCTCTAACAGTCAACCAAACATCCACTCCTTCTAAACTAATCACTAATTCGCTATCATTCCATTCTACTTCTTGGCTTCCAAACTAACAAAAACAATATCAAAGCCTTAGTCCCAATGATAGGGTCGGATACGTGAACCGAGATCTTATCTTCTATAAATGTCAACCATGGTCCTCTGATCCTCTCCCTCCACTCCCTTTCATCAAGAGCTATATGCAATAGTAAACTCAACTACTCTTATATCATTCCTAACAGCTTCTAAACTAAAACATTAAAAAAATTGACACAGTATTACAGCACAAAGTTTAATCTTTTCTGTATCAAATTAAAGTATGATTCTTGTATATAAATCAATTTCACAAAAAAAAAAAAAAAAAAAAAAAATAAAAAATAAAAAATTAGGAGAGAATTACCAGAAGAGGCAGAAATACTGAAGACGGCTTCCTTGCCAGGTACAACTGGATCAGGGTGAAATTCAACTCCTTTGACTTCCACAGCATAGTTAGCTTTCTTATCTGCATCAAATTAAAGCTTAATTCTTTCTTATAAATCAAATAAACAAATACCAAGAAAAGTTTTTATAAAAATTATAGCATACACCCATAATTAGAGATCAAATTCCAAAATTTCAAAAGAAAAAAAAAAAAAAAAAAAAACCAAATTTATTGGGTTTATTAGGATGAACCAAAAAAAACAGGGAGAATTGAGTGTGGAAAATTGAAGGAGGAAGTAAATCACCGCATTTTTTAACGGACTTGGCTAAAATAGAAGGAGCAGACAAACAAAGGCAGAGAAAGATGAAGACTTGGAGCTTGCAAATCGCCATGACAAAAACGCTTAGCAGCAACCTTGGGAGTTCCGTCTCTGAATAATAATGGTGGAAAATCGATGGATATTACCTGCTTGGATTAATTTATTTGCTTATCAACAAGGTTACTCTACTTATTTGGTTTCAATTTCTCCTTAATTTTGACGTATAGGTTGATTGTATGCCTCAAGAAAAGAATTTGATAAGGGGAAAATCTAAATTTATATGACAATAGAAAAAAAATATATATATTAAATGACAATTACGTAATTAAATTAATAATTTTTTTTTAATTATTAAATGTGAATATTTTGTTCTATTCACCTGATTTAACTTCTCTGAACTTATCTAATTTTATATTATGAAAACTTATTTTAGTTATAATTTGTACTTTTATTTTTCTAAATAGGGTAATCCCTAGCGAAGGGTCCTAAACTGGTGCAAGAGCGCACACTTTTGGCCTGTGTAGTTTGGTTCGCAGCTTTAGCCATGATTTCTTCTTCATATAGGTAGATATAGGATCTATAGGGCTGAATTTATTTGAACTTATCTGAATTTATTACACATGAAATAAATGAAAATAAGGTGAACATAACGGCCCCAAATATCAATCTTATTAGCATTTATTTTATTTTGTTGAATTATTTACGAGATTGTCATGTGATAAGTGGTTTTTTTTTTTTTAATGGGAGATAATAACTAGATAAGCCTACTTCTTTAATTAGTGAGGTTATTTTATTACGGAGTATTCTTTGAATAATGTATAAGCATAATGGAGAAGGTTGAAATTGTTTTTGTAGCAAAACTAGTAATTAATTATTTACACCAAACAACGTGCAATTTGTTCAAAAACTATCATAATTTAAAACTTTAAATCATAAAAGTGCTTTAGGAGCAATAAAAGTTACTCCGCACAATATAATTTTATAGTTAGCACTTAAAATTGCGTATATTATCGGTAATTGTTTTGATTTTGGAGCAAAACTCTCTTACAATTGGCCATTTGCTCTCATAGCTAGGAATCACCTTGGTAGTTTGTGAGCTCCATAGTTGTTGGATCCAACTCGGGCACATTGATTGATGCAGATTTGGCATTACAAGAAGGCATCAAATGATCGTTCATTCTTGAAATTAAACAGAATTAAAAGTGACAATGTTTGCGTCATCAATAATATCAAGCGGCAATATATGAAAGATCCTTTTAACTATAATCAACATAAATGATGATGTGGAGAAAGATCATGTTAACTTTCAAGAACGAGCAATCATGTGAAGAAGCAAATTAAGCGTCATATTTCATTGTTAATTATGACTATAATTACCATTTAATGTTTTATTGGTTTAACTAGTGTAATGATTTGCTCTACTCCATGATTCAAAAGGATGAGTTAGGTTGATCTTATCATGGAGACTGGTCTAATTTGCATTTTCTTATTATAAAAATACACTAAAATGGGATTTGTGCCATTTATTTTAGTTGGTAGCTGGTACATATATGAGTAATGATTTATATACTCTTAATCCTAGCTGATTTTATTCTATACCACAATATTTTGATTGCTTTATTTCCAATTTGTTCCCTCTGTTAAGCTAGACGTGCCAGTATCGATAACATTACTATGGAAATCAAGTTCATCTTCATTCCTCTGTTTAAGCAAGCTAAGCAATATACATCTTAATTCATCTACCCTCAAAATTCATGTTTAATAATTGAAACTAATGTAGTATTGTTGTACTATATACTTACTGTATTAAAATAAACGGTGCACAATGCTTATGTAGTTATGTAAGATTGTTCTAACATTGTCGTAATGCAAAACCCTCAACACAAAAATTTATGTGTTATATTTGCATCATATTCATAGACGATCAAGAATAATTATTATACATATATATTGTTCTAATCTTTTTGTTGCAAAACCCTCGATACAAAAATTTTGGAGCTAGATTGCATCACAATACAATCATAAACAATCCAAAATAATTATACGTGTATCTAATATATCTACAAACAAACAACAACAACAAAAAAACAACCACAATTAAAAGACACAAAACATACATATAAAACATTCATATATTATTAGAGCTACATAAAATACATACTAGATAAATATTAAGAAGCTAACAAGTTCATCTTACAAGTGAATCATTGCAATCCACAACATCTACACTAGCAGAACAAAACAACAACTTTCTAAAAATAGACTTAATAGCAGAACATGACACTTCCTTAACATTTCTTACAGATTTCTCCTTCTTTTCTTGATGTTGTTGTGATGATCTCTTCTTACCGCCATTCACAACCCTTTCTTTCACTCTCCCTATACACTTTTTCGTCTTTTCGTTCACGCTCTCTTTTCTTGTGAAGGTGTAGCTTCTTAAGTATATCTGCCTACATGATATGCTCTCTACCACCTTTGGCCTCGGGTGGCCGGGACCTCGAAAGCTCACTGATCTTACAAACTCGGCATCCGATTCCGGCCACTTGTAGAGGTTTACATAAGTGGCTCTTACTCTTGTTGTAGGCACCCTTGCATCATCTATGCAACTTGAGATGCAAACTGAACTCATTCTTAATTTCTCTTTTTTTTTTTTTTTTTTTTTTGGTTCTCTCTATATATCTTTGATGTTAGGGCATGTATGTCATGGTATATAATAAGTATGCTTTTGTTTAATTATAAAAAATGGGAATTGAAGTAAGGCTTAGATTGTAAGTGAAGACATGAAATTGAAAAATACAAGAAAATTATTAGAGTTATTATGATTGTAGTAACTAGTATTTTCTTGATAAAGTAGCCTGTGAAATAATGATTTGTCATCATGTGTAATGACTGTGTTTTACTCTTGTTTGTGTCATGCACCTAGACCCAATTCTAGGGATTAATTTAAATATTTACATTATGTAAAAAGAGATTCGACTTTTTTTTATTAAATACTCCCTGCATGTATTAATGCCTATTAATTTATTTGGCTTTACAATTATTAATTCTGATAATGATCGATAATAAACAAAAATTCAGTCTTGTAAGAAAATACTTGTATTAATCTATGGAAATGCAACTGCATCCCAAGCAATTTCATTTTTTTCATTTTACATACGGAGATGAGAATTTCGTTACATATACGAAGTATATACATATTAGCACAATATAACGATTATCAATTTATGATCATCTAGCCAATTAAACTAGCCAGAATCATATCCTTAAAAACCCTCAAGGCCTTAATTATATGAAAGGTAAGAATAATTTTGAAAAGGGAATATCACATTAGTTTGCAAAATTTGGTTCGAAATTTGTGTCCTGTCTAAGTAAATTGTAGGATGATAAATTTTGCAAAAAAGTTACAAAAAATAAAATTATGTGAACCACTCAATATTATTAAGGACGAAAAAAGTATGGAGTACTATTTAATTGACAATTACGTAGACATGTAATATTCTATACTCAACACAAAATAGATGGATTAAATTATGAAAAAAAAAAAAAAAAGGTGGTGTCATGGCAGCCATATATGCACTCAATAACTCACGCAATCAATTCTCCAGCTGGGAGCATTATAATGCATAACATGCTTCTGCTGGTTAAACCATGATATCAACCAACTTTAATAAGATTGCTGTACCTAATTACCTATAACTAACGCACGACACAGCAAGGTACCTAGCGTACGTATTCTTAGCAATGCTCAATTGCTCTAGCTAAACATTGACAAACATAAACGACGATAAAGTTTAATGAATTAAAATCGGCTATGCACTGCCTTTTTAGGCGAAAAGGTCCTCAAACATGAAAAACCAATATAAGAAATTCTTAACTGTTTTTTAAGAGTTTAAAAAATACAAGTAATGTAGACGTGATTTGATCTAATCAACTCATGGGTAACAAATGTCTAACATCGAAGGGGATCAATGCCAATCCAAAGGATCGAAAGTTCAAAACATCTGCCTTTTTCTCCAACCTACAGGGCTACAGACAAGGGGTATTCTCTTTTGTCACGTTGAATCAAAATCATTGCATTTAAATACAAAAGTTAAAGCTATAATTTCCGTAAGCCTGACTTTGAAAAAAGATAAAGTGAAAGACAAAAAAGATTGCTAGAAATGAAACAAGAATAACAGTACATTGCTACACCTGAGCTCCCTGCCAATTAAAATGCCGAAAATTCGAGCTTCTTGCAGTTCTAGAAGAAGTAGAAGAAGCAACAGTTTTTGCAAATTCCTTGCTTTCATTCACAACAATCCTCCTCGTATGTTTTAAACATTTTGTGCAAATTTTTAATTCCTACTCGTTCACATTTATATAACACGGATTTAGTTGTCATATTACGGATGACAATTAATTAGCTGCTGCTTAATAGGACACTATAATTAGTTAATTTACTTAATTACACACGTTAGTTGCTACACCTTGAAGTTGATTTACATAAATCTTTAAGCTTAGCTTGCATACACATGTGTTCGATCAATCTATTGTTCTGATGAACTACTTTCTTAGTCACAGGTCAAGTAAGTCTATTGAAGCGCGTATCATACAGGGAGCTAGATCGGGCAACAGATGGGTTCCGAAGAATTATTACTTGTGACTCTCAAAGCATAACATACGAAGCTAAATTTCGAGATGGCTCAGTTTCTGTTGTGAAAGAAGTAAGAAGTGTTGATCAAGGAAATGAGGTTTTCGACAAGGAATTGCATCTTCTAGGCCGGTTGCATCATCGACATGTTGTAGCACTTAGAGGATATTCTGTTGGTCGTAAAAGGTCTGATCCAAAGTCTTGTTCATTTTATTTATTTTAATACAAGATTAATTAGTAGTACTACTCTGCACCCTGCAGTATGTTTTTGTAAGCATGAATTATATAATGTAGCATATTTGGAGCATTTTATAACTTCAATTTTCGTCGATACATACACTACATAATGATTGTGGATTATCATTACTAATCTGTAACAAAAATAGAAAATTGTGGAATATTCGCGCATGTAGTGAAGTATGGTGGTAGGAAACTTAGGAGACTGATATTATTTTTTGTGTAATTTTCCCCAACCTGTCTTTCCAGTTTCCTGGTTTTCGAGTGCACTGCAAAGGGAAGTTTGAAGGATCACCTGAATGGTAATTTTTGTTGAAATTATTGCATTTTGGAAGCATCTATCTGTGGAAGAGCTCTGATACTTTAGCATAACAGATCCCCTGAAGACTCCTCTGAGCTGGAAGACTAGAGTACAGATAGCCATCGGTGTTGCTGCTGCGCTGGTGGGTAGATCTCAGCGTTATAATTTCAGTACACAAACTTCTTCAGTTCTTTTTACATAGTTGCTCATATCCAACTCCTCTATCCTGCATAGACGGGAACCTTAATTAGTCGAGGCACTATGATCATGATAAATTGATAATGATTGTGAATTTGTGACTGTGTTTTTGTAACTAAGGGTAACTTATGTATCACAACATTGCACTTTGCAGGAGTATCTACAATTCTTTTGCGAGCCACCAGTAAAACACATTTCTATCAGCTCAAGCAATATTATCTTGGATGAGAAGTTGGTTCCGAAGGTGAGAACACTTACAATGATCAATTCTGCTCCCAATACTCATTACGTTAGGCTTTCTGAAATATCAGTTGTTTCTTTGACACAGCTCTCGAATATTGGTTGTCTTTGCTCAGAAGGTGAGCATCTGCTGCATCTGAAAACAATGTACTCCGTTATATATTATTTGCAATTTGTGGATATTATTTGTCAGGTATAAAAAAATTCAAAAGTTGCACATAATATATAACGGAGGCATAGAAGGTAACTTGATAACAATTTACCAACTTTAAGCCAAGTCTTTGATTTTTTGGTTCTACTGCAGAAAGGGCATATGTAATTCCTCAATTTGGTGCATTACTACTTGAGCTAATAACTGGTGAATCTTCGCCCAAGGAGAGTGCTGATGTGATACAGTGGATCCGTGAATTGCGGTCCAACTTATCCATGCATAACATAATTGATCCAGACCTTGGAAACAGTTATAATTTCAAAGAGCTAAGGGACCTTTTAAGCGTTGCAAGATTGTGTATAAAAGTTGAGAATACACAACTAACACAAGCCTTCACTATTTCACATATTTTTTGGTACCTTCAAAAGCGGTTTGGTAATGCTAGTAATTAGTCTGAAACTTGTGTTAATATATGTATATCAATATGCTGACAATGCTGTTTCCAATTCTGCCGGTGTTGAGGTAGTGATTGTTGTTGACGGATGTGTTTGTGTAAAACGATAGAAGGTATGGTCGTATGGATGTATGATAGATGTCACATTGTTTGTTGCTCATTAATGGTGAATTTCTCCCTTTTTAGCATCATGGCAAAATGTATTGTTACTGATTTATGTTGCTTATGTGAATGTGAAGAGTCTTTAAATTTCAGGCCACAAGCAATTTCTAGAAGCAGCTTAGGCTAGATCATCGGATAGTCAGAAAACTTTCAAATTGAAAGATTAACTTTAATTTCTTTATAGTTTACTAACTGACTGTTACCGATACATATTCTATAACTCCTATGCAGTAACTACAGTACACCCAGCAATAAACTCAAAATTGCCACAAATAGGAGAACTATGGATAGCAATAAGGCAAGGACATAAGTTTTCCGAGCACAAACACTAAATTCAAAGACAAGTCATATGATTGTAGCTATTAGATCAATAAAATCACTGTTGAGCACACTGGACCCTCTGAGCCCCAGCAGGCTCGTCATCTTCATCATATGCCTCCTGCTGTGCCTGGGTTTGCTTCCTTTTCATTTCTTCTTCAATGTTGACATTGTGCAATGTTGTCTCTTCACATTCATCCAACTCCATGTCTGTGAGTGCCATTGATGGCTTAGGCGGAAGGATCGCTTCCAACGCTTTAACCTGATCAGGGTTCAAAGAATCGGGGAACTCCACTGTGAAATGGATGTACATCTTGCCCTTCATGAATGGCCTCTGGTAAATTGGCATACCCTCATCATCAATTGCCTTGAATTGATCTGCTCAGAGATACCAACAAAACACAATGCACATTTAGTAGTGATTTGGGATAATCAAAATTGAAACACTGTCATTCTACTAAAATTCAAAATGCTCAGATCTAATAAACTTGAACGTATCCAACAAGATACTAACCAGGCTTGATAACTTCTCCCGGATTTGATTTGATAAGAAGTTGCCTTCCATCAAGGTGGGTCAGCACAAATCTAAAGCCACAAAGAGCTTCAGTCAGGCTCAGAGTATGCTCATAAAAGAGATCTTCGCCCTTTCTCTTGAACTTAGGATGCTCTTTCTGCTGCAGGACAAAGACAATATCTCCAGTGACAGTATCAGGCTGCAAAGAAATAGAAAAAAGGTTTTAAGTTATCCACAAAATCTATATAAATTATTTCAAACAGCAAGCAAAGAATAGTTTATGACATACAGCTTCATCAGCCTCTCCAGGGAAAGTAATTTTCTGTCCATGTTGCATGCCCTTCTCCACAACAACCTCTAAGACCTTCTTCTCCTGCACAACCTTCTCACCTTTGCACTGAGGGCACCGATCTTTGTCATTGATTGTCTCTCCAGTTCCTTTGCATTCATTACACGGGTGCTGCATCTGCTGGATCATTGAGGGGCCCAGATGTCTGATAGACACCTTCATACCGGTACCTTGACATCCGGAACACTTCATGGAAGCTCCAGATTTTGATCCTTTGCTGTTACATGTAAAATTAACAATCAAGTTAGGAATGGATCAAAGAATGGGCGACAAAGCTCAGAAAACAAATCATACAGATACTTACCCAGTACACTTTGAACATATTACATTGCGAGAGAGGGAGAGCTTCTTTGCTGTACCAGTAAAGAGATCTTCAAGGGATACCTTCAGAGGATGAACTACATCCTCTCCCCGCCTTTGCCTTCTTCCTCGGCTACTACCACCACCACCTAACCATCATAAATTACATAATCAATAATTGCTACATTGTACTGTCTAGGATTAGCAACCCAAGAAAAGGAAACAGGCTTGAGGCATGACTTAAAACCAAACCATTCAAGTGATTGCTATAGACTCCTTACCAAATGGACTTCCTCCAAAGAAGGACTGGAAGATGTCGAAAGGATCGTGCATGCCGCCACCTCCACCCATTCCTTCCTTAAGTGCATCCTCACCATATTGGTCATAGATCTCACGCTTTTCAGGATCACTGAGGACCTCATATGCATGAGCTAGCTCTTTAAACTGCATCATATAAAAACCATGCCAAGTTAAGTTTCCCTAAATAACTTCGGCAATTCAACACAGGCATAATCTTACTATAAAGATCATCACTACAGTCGAGTCGGGTCATAAACCCCAGCTGTCAATAACATATTCCTAAGCCTGCAATGTCTAATACATTCCAAAATACTCCTACCAATCCAGAATCAAAAGTTATATCCTTAATCACGAGGAATTGGGAACGTTACAACTAGTTCCCGAAAATTCTAATTTCTAGTTAGCAGTTGAATACTTGAATATCATGAACCAAATTTCATTCCTATAGCTTCCATCTAAAACCCTGGTTTGTCAAACAATTATTCCAGCTCGAAATTGGCTTTCGACGCTATTCTTCAACTTCCATTACCCCGTTCCTCTCCATAAAGACCAAAATTCATTGCTTAGAGGCAATATTCTATAACCAACTCCAATTCACCAGCTATGTTCAATTGTTCATCAATTAAATCCTATATAAACTCCAATTACTTCATCCATAACAACAACACACCGCTAGATACAATTATGTTAATCTCGTATAAAACTGAACATCTACCATTAATCCCCTTAATCCAAATCATCCCCAACAACAACAACAATAAAACAAATTCGATCACAACCAATTAATCCAATCATAACCAATTAATCCTAACATAATGCATAATTAAACCATCAACAAAATTCAATCTAACAAAACACCAAGGTCAAAGTACCAAAATTTCATAAAATCAAGTAACACCCATTAAAATTAAACCAAACCCACAATTCAAAATAACAAAAATTCACCAATTAACATCCAAAAATTCAAAAAATTGCACAAACCTTCTCGGGATCACCACCCTTATCAGGATGATTTTTAATGGCGGCTTTTTTATAAGCCCTCTTCAAATCTTCAGGAGATGCATCTTTTGGTACACCTAAGATCTCATAATACCTGGTGTTATCACTCTTCTTTGGTGCTCTTCCGAACATCTTTTCTCTCTCCCAAAAGTTGAACTTTCAGAGGTGAAGAACAAACAAGTACACAATTTTTCCTGAGAATTCTTTGTTATTTTGGAAATTTACTTATATAAGGGGTTTTCTGGCTTAAATTTTTGGGGTATTTTTAATTTTTAATTTTTAATATTTAATTTTTTTGGACGGTGAAGATTGAAGGGTGTAAGGAGTAAAGTAAAGTTTTAAAGCCGTTGATGTTGCGATGTATTGGTAATTTTAGAAAGAAAAAAAAAAAGGAACGGTCTAGAATTTCTAAATTTATTTTCCCTGCTTTATTTGGAATTCTAGATGGTTCTGTAGAGGTCTAGGTCTCCCCTTAAATTTGGAAACGTTTAAAAAAAAACCAAAAAATAAATACCTTGCTTCCTGGGTTTTTCTTTCCCTTTGCCAACTCACCTTCGTTTTTTTTTTTAATCTCGATTTTTTTTTTCTTTCTTTCCGAGTTGATTCCACCTCAAATTTGTCAAGTATATAAATGTGATGAAATTGCCTTCATTATTGTCTTTCCTTTCAAAAAAAAAAAAGAAAAAGCTTGATTATTGCCTAGTCATACTTCCGTAGTTTTATTATGAGAAATTTGTTTAGAACTACCCGAAAGATAGGCTCATTTGTGAAGAACTACCAATTTTTTTTATTTGTTTACAACTACCCACAAATTTGAAAACGTTTGGGTAACACTACCCATTAACGTTTTCCGTCCAATTGCAACGTTAGTGGGGCCCACTTTTTAACTTTCCCACCTAATTAACTCCTCCCCCCAACTACCTTCTGTCTTCTTCTCTCCTCTGTAATTTCTTTTCCCTCCATTACCACCCCCTTCTTTCACCTTCGTCATTTAACGGGGAAATTTCACCATCATCTTCCTCTCCTTTTCAGAAATTTGGCAGCCCTACCATCCCTTTCTTTACTGTCTTTGTCTCTTCCAACTCATTTTGCTTTTTTGGGTAACTCGAAGTAAATGAGTCACACCACAGCAATGGAAAAGAGAGAAACAACACAACAAGGACGAACAAGGTACATTGGTATAATCACCTTAAATTTATGTCCTTTACCTTAAATACTATAAAAAAATGTGAAAACCGTAAATATTTAAATACTTGAAATTGGAACCCTAATTTTTTAATTGACAAAATTGACTGGACAATTAAACAATTGCAACAAATTTCCCCATAATTAATTAACAGTAAACTTAATTGAGGTTGTTGTTGTGCTTAGATAATTGTGCATTAGTTGCTTGGTTGTTTTGCCCTGCTTATTTTATGTTATGCATGTTGTTTGACTTAATGTAGTAGAGAGCTAATTTATGCATGTTGTTTGACTTAATTGAGGTTGTTGTTGTGCTTAGATAATTTATGCATGTTGTTTGACTTATGTTATTTTATATCAACATTGTTATTGAATAAGTGTTGTTATCAATTTTGTAGGGAGCTTCCATCATATGTTGATATGAATATCTGGGTTGGTGGGCAATTTGAATACAAAAAGGGTAAGACAAAATATGTGGGGGGATGGATGTTTATGAGATTGAGTTGTTGGTTGAAGGAACTTAATGTTGGGAATTTGAGGAAGTGGGTGATCCAAGTGATTAGGGGATTTTGCTCCCACCAATCGAAATGCGCCACGTGGACCAATCAGGTCCTGCCAAGTGTCCCCCAGTTGGAACAGTCAGGGCTTCCCACGTGGTACGCGCTTATTCGTCCACCTTGGACCTGTTATGTCAAGACATGTGGCATACTCCATGCCTAATGGAGAAACCGGCCACCCAGGCCCAACTTCCGAGGGAAGCCCAATTGGCCCTAGGTTTACCTAAACCTAGGATGGGCACGTTTCCCAAGGTTATAAATACCTCCCTTAATCCTCATTAAGGGGAATTACAAAAAGAGAACAGAAACATTACGGAAAAAACACATTAATTACACACAGTAATAACCGGCTGATCTCGCTAACAAAGCAGATTACCTACATTAAACACTCTCACCTAGAGAGACCAAATCACTTTAATTTCCGCATTAATTACTCCTTAATCAGGTAATAACTTGACCGTTGGAGGCGGAGCTCACAGGAGTCTCCGTTATTTTGCAGGTACAGGCGTCCGGTTCCAGTCTCGGAATTGTAACTCTCCCGCAGGACATCAGAAAACCCCGAAACATTTGGCGCCGTCTGTGGGGAGAGTACTTCTGAGATGGCATCCAAGTCTGTACCGACTCCTGAAGAGAGGCGTCCCCTAGACGACCCTCAAGTTCAGTCGGACCATGATACCGAAAGTGAATTTGAAGTTGAAGCTCATACAACTTCAGACGGGACCCTAAGGGCCCGACGTACCCGTCATACCGAAAGGAGGGAACGGGAGCATCTTCAAACAGGAAGCGAGCCAGCAGGTGCACCGCCTGTTCGGCAACAGCCGACTGATGGGTCTGCTCCCATCACAAGGAACGAACTCATGACCTTCATGAGGGACTTCAAGGGAGAGATTCAAGAGTTGATCAACAAGAAGCCGCCTGCTCCAGTCAAGGAGCAGTCGGCCAAGAAACCCTCCACTTCACTGAAGAGGAAGCCAGTTCAAGGGCGAGAGGCGACTCCTCATCCTAAATCTAGGAGGCGGGAGCCACCTGCCCTTGATTTCACAAAATTCCGTTATCCTACAGGAAATAGGAAACCTGTTCGTCATATTCAGGCGGACGGGTCGAAGCAAACATTCACAGATGCTCGGCTACTGCTAGAGCAGAAGAAGAGTGACCGATTGTCAGAGTCGGCCTCTACTTCAAACTTTCAAGACAGTTTGCGAAATGCCTCGATGAGGCATACTCAGTCGTATCATGAGAGTCAGTCAGGCGGCACCTCCCGTCAGTCCGGCTTTCATAGCGACCAGGCGGTACCAAACTTACCATTTGTGCCGCAACAACAGTATTTTTTGCAGCCACCTCCGTTTGGTGGACCTGCAGCAAAAAACGTCCAACCTATGGACTGGCAGCTACGGTTGCTTAGACTTGGTGAACAGCCGTCGGCCTTCTCCAAGGAAATTGCTGAAGCCGCTCAGCCGGCCAAAGTGAAAAATGTACTAGTAGGCGCCTATGACGGCACTACTAACCCAGAAGACCATCTGATGGCATTCACCAACCTGATGTACCTTCAAGGGTTGGATGATCCCACTTGGTGCAAGTGTTTCCCAGCGACTCTCAAAGGAATCGCACAGCAATGGTTCGGCAACCTGCCGACTGGTTGTGTAAATAGCTTCAGGACGCTTGCTTACTTATTTGCCTCCAACTTCGCCATGAACATCCCTGCGAAGAAAACGACCCTTGATTTGGGAAAAATTCAGCAGGGCGAGAAGGAGGGGCTTCGTTCTTACATCAGGCGGTTTAACCTGATGAGAATACAGATTCAAGGCTTACCGGATGAGGTAGCTTATACTGACTTTTTCAGAGGTCTCAAAGACGGGTCTACCTTCAAATTTGATTTGGTTCGAAAAAGGGTGGCGACTCTTCACGAGGCCTTGATTGAAGCAGAAGCCTATATACAGGCGACTGATCTTTGTACGATAAAATAGTCGGACGGGAAAAGGTTCGACAAAAGAGAAGGACGACAGAAACAGTCGTCTAACAAAGATGAGAAAAGAAAAGAGGTCTGGGCGGCTGATTCCTCTAAACAGCCGGCCCAGAAAAAGAAAAAAGAATTCAAACCATACTCCCCAAAGTATGCGTTTAACAAGGATAACCAGTTTATCCTAAAATAAATCAAGGGACGGATCTCAATTGAGAAGCCGGTCCCCATGAAGGGTTCTGCAAACAACCGGAACCAAGATAAATTTTGTGCTTATCATGATGATGTTGGTCATCACACCAATGACTGCATCAGTCTCATGCGGTACCTAGACCGCCTGGCTGAGCAAGGTGATCTTGACACTTATGTCAAGAAATCTACGGGGAACACTTCCTCAAAAAAGCTGACGGCCAAAAAGAATTAGCAGGCCGACAGCTCTGATACAGATGATGCAGTCGTCTACACCATTGCAGGCGGCTTCTCAGGAGGCGGCCCCACTATTAGGGGCAACAAAGACAATATCAGGCGGTTAGATGTAAATTCCGTTCACCAAGAACGGTCGTCCAAATATTCATTTCCTGAGATTGTCATCATTGAATGTAAAGTGGCCAACCAGAGAGTTGGCCGAATCCTCATAGATACCGGAAGCTCCTCAGATCTCATCAGTAGCAAATGTCTGTCGAAACTAAAATATCAGACTGATTGCATACATCCGGCCTCCCACCCTTTAGTAGGGTTTGGAGGAGGAGGAGTCCACCCACTAGGACGAGTAGATTTACCCATCCGCCTGGGCAAAAAAGGGGAAGGACGACACATGGTAGTCCGGTTCCTGGTAGTAGAGGAACTCTCGGCCTACAACATGATTCTGGGTCGACCTACCCTGAATAATTCCAAGGCTGTTATAATCCCATCTCTTATGTTGCTCAAGTTTGAGAGGGATAATGGAACAGTCGGCTCCCTAAGGGGAGATCAGAGGATGGCCCGAGAGTGCTATCTCTCGGATGTCAAGCCCACTGTTATGGCTACTGGGTCAAGCGGTGAAAAAACAGACCTTGACAAGGAGAGTGCGCCTGTTCAAGAAGCAGGCGGCAAAAAGAGAAAGGCATCCCAGACAGGGGCCGCAAGAAAAGCAAGAAAATAACAATCATTGGCAGAGGAGCGGCCGGATGAGTTCCGCCCTCAGCCGGCTGGTGAGCATGCGGACCTGATCTTAGACGACTCACGTCCTGACCGAACAGTCAAAGTTGGGACGACTGCACTGAGAAACCTTGGTGACAACTTTCACAACCTATTGAAAGAATGCAAGGACATCTTTGCATTCGAAGTCCATGAAATGCCAGACATTAGTCCTGATCTGGCGGTACATAAACTCGCCGTGGATCCGAAAAAGAAGCCGGTACGGCAAAAGAAGCGGAACCATGGCGAAGTAAGAAGTCAGGCGGCAGCCGCCGAAGTTAAAAAATTACTTGATGCAGGGTTCATTCGGCAATGTTACTTCCCAGACTGGGTTGCAAATGTGGTGCTTGTTAAAAAGC